TGGTGTGACTGCCGGTTGACAAGCTTCAACCACATTATACCGGACTTCACCCCGGACTTTAAGGCTATCACCTGTGTACTCACACAACAATTTACGCGTGATAAGCAGACCCTCTGCGCAGTTCTAAGGTGCCCAGTGAGTGTTCAGATATGTAATCATGAAATTGATTGCGTTTTCAACCGTGAATCCAGAATTTACTACCGGAAAACGTTGTGTTCTGATATATTGTGACAAAGCGCTGACAAATACATTTCATGCCTGATCGTTTTGTAGGCTGGTGTGCCTGTACTTGGCATGCAAAATCGAGGAGTCCCGCAAAACCATTGCCAATTTTCTGAAACCCGTGGCCAAAGATCAAGACAAACTGAAAGATTACATTTTGGATATGGAATTGGTATTGGCCGAGTTGCTGTCGTTTCATCTGGCGCTGCACCACCCGTTCCATGCCATCGAAGGCTTCTGCATAGAGCTGATCACACCTACTGACGTATGTGATAGTTACGCAAGTATAGCGCAAGTATAGAAACTCACACAGAAACCCGAACGACTCACACACATATGCATATGTGTGAAGTTTACTACAAACAACATGCGTATATGTAGCATTGTTACTATATGCAACACATGCGAATGTACCAATGGTAGATACTGTATATATACCAATATTACTACAATACAACAATATATATATATATATATATATATATATATATTTATATAGATATGTATCAATATTGCTACATACAACACATGCATATATAATATATCAATATTGCTACATACAACATGTGCATATATATATATCAATGTTGCTACAATACAAAACATGAATATATCTATATCAACGTTGTTACATACAGCACATGCATATATATATATATATATATATCAGTGTTGCTACAATACAACACATGAATATATCTATATTAATGGTGCTACATACAACACATGCATATAGATCAATGATGCTAGATCCAGCACATGCAACAATGTTGTTGCGTCCACAAATATCTGTGTCAGTCATTACTTGCGTTGTCAGGGTTTAGATCTCTTATCACATGCTTGTATAATTTATACTCAATTTAGCATATAAATATATATATATATATATATATATTATATATATATATATATAGACATGACATAAACTATACTATTATTATTATATATATATATATATATATATATATATATATATATATATATTTATATATATAAACATACATACACACACACATATATATGTATATATATGTATATATATATATTTCTATATCCATGAATATCACAAACTATATATCTTGAGGCAAACCTTTACCGCAGTCAGACTTGATCGTAATCAACTCAACCGCACAAATATTGTGTATGCAATCGGTTAACCATCGGGAATGCAACTGAATACGTACGGATATATCACTTGTTACTACTCATTGTATTGAACATATTCCATACACGAACAATGACAGACTCCGTTATACGTTATACGCTTACCATAACGCACTGCAGGACGATTTGTCCGTAATTAATTCCACGACCCAGAACAATGTGTATCGCGAAGCAATGATTCTGGCGAAGTTATCGGTAACCAGCGATGTGTGCTTGCTGTATGCGCCGTCTGTAGTAGCCATGAGCTGTGTGTACAGTGCCACTGAGAAAGAGGGGGCCCTGGACGTTATTGAAAGGTATTTGTCTATGGAAGGCTCGTGCTCTGAGCATACAGTGGAGTGTGTTCACATCATCGGCGTGTATCCGAAGTATAACAGACTAAGCAGTGTTTCAAGCGCCCGTTAATGTACCTACGTTTTCCGTCACCAGTGGTGTGTCTGATTGTATTCGTGCGCCTTCGGTAGTGGCCGTGTGCGTCGTATGCAGAGCGGCTGAGGACGAGGGTGTCCTGGATGGTTTGGGTAGGTATTTGTATGTGTATCTAAGTGATGGGCGCTCGGTGTGTATCTGTGGCATTTATGTATTTTAATCAGGGCCTATTCAGAAGTGTGTCGGCGGCAGTTATGTACCCATATCTAAAGCCCATAGGAGTATACTCGCGACATCGATATGGACGGTTTCATGAGTTTGTCGGTGAACAACTTGACGTGCATGTGGTATTGGCCTTCACTGCCCCCATGTGCCGTGTGCACACTTCGACTGAACTTAAAAGGTACATACACGTGTGTATACATGTGGAATTAGAAGGTATATGCATGTGTACATACATGTGATATTAGAACTGGCATACGTATGTGATATTAGAAGGCATTTGTATGTGATATTAGAAGGCATACGCATCGGATATTAGAACACATATGCATGTGACATTAGAAGACATATGCATATGTGCAGGCGTGTGGTATTAGAAGGCATATGCATATATGCATGCGTTCTCCTTGCATAGACCCAGGCGTTTCACAAGCGTATGTGTCCCCAACCCTGCATCGTATACTTGAGGCGTGCGACTACGAGGCTCGAGAAACGCTTGGCAACCAATATAGTGTGTATCGTCATAGCCTCCTCATTCGTTAGGACTATATGGTATTGTATGTATGCCTTCGAAGAATACCCGCTATTTATACCCACAGCTTGTGGGCTGTTCGACATATCATGTGTGTACATGCGTGCGAATGAGTACACATATGTCTTCTGACTCCACTGTGTCGATATCTTTCCCCACAACACTGGTCGGTGACAAATCCCACAGCAATTTCAAAGCCAAGTTCGGGTTTGATGAGAGGATGGCGCAGACATGCCGAAAAATCGTCGATATGATCAACAGTAAAGCACAGGTAATCCTACCCAACAGTAAGCACAGGTAATCCTACTCAACAGTAAAGCATAGGTAATCCTACGCAACAGTAATCCGCAGGTAATCCTACCCAACTCACCACCTACTACACTGTGCTTCATGCGGATGTTCACACGTGTGTACACCAGGTGACAGTACGTCGGTGCAGGAACACACTGCCTATACGGTATCGTCAGTAGTGTTGGCGTACGGAGGGCATCTGTTTGTACCGCCGCAGTGGGGTGGTTTATGTACTAGCAGTCGTGTACGGACATGTGCACATGTCTTTGGTCGTCTGTTTGCCCCTGACACGGGTGTTCGGGCGCCTGTGTCAGGGGTTTATTCGGGGCTTTTTGGGCTGTTCTGCTTGTACCTATGCACGCATTTTTTTGTACACTGACTGTGTTTCATACCTTACCTTCTCTGGCATTATCGTGTTGTGGACAATGGCGCTCGGGTGCCACCGTTGTGGTGTGATAGTTTGCTTATCCCTATGACGCACATACAGTCTGGTCACTTGCTTCGTCCAGTGAAATACCTCCGTTGGCCTATTCCATTTATAGACCTGCGCTCACTGTTACTTTGCTGTGTCGGTTTGTGCGGCAGTTTGATCCGAAAGTGATGAAACGGGTGATGAAACGACAGAACGGCCTCAGGAAATATGTCATGGACACCGCCAGCCAAGAGTATGTGCGTGTTCTATGACTCATTCCTATGAAGTCCGATAGTTCAGGTAGTCGGCGATACACAGTTCGGTACAAGAAATCCGTCTCCGTACACAGTGATTCGATACGCCAGCAGACCACTGCAATCGGTGGATGAGACTGAGGTGCATCCGTACACACGCGTACCTATTCCTACACTATGTTTTATGTCGATCCAAACTCTCGTCACAGAAGTCAGGGACTGGGCTGTGACCCATTTCACGGATGAATGGTAGCTAAAACGCTCAAGCGGATGGATGAGGCGGAGTTGTAGTCCTGTACCCGCGCATCTTCACACATATTTCTGTAACAAGTTAACACATGCAAAACTCGTCTCAGCATAACTCAATAGGCATGTACCACGTTGTCATCCATAAATCGGGGGACGTTGTAAGGCACTTACCTATACGCATGCACCAACATCCACCTAGTAGTTGTCAACTCAAAATTCTTTCCTATTAGTTGATCAATTCAAATTACTTTCCCATTGGTTGGACAATCTAAAATAATTTCCCATTGGTTGGACAATTTAAATTACTTTCCCATTGGTTGATCAATTCAAATTACTTTCTCTTTGGTTGGATAATTTAAATTACTTTCCCATTGGTCGGAGAATTCAACATACTTTACTATTGGTTGGACAACTGAAACTACTTTCCCATTGGTTGGACAATTTAACTTACTTTCCTATTAGTTGGACAATTTAAATTACTTTCTCATTGGTTGGACAATTTAAATTACTTTCCCATTGGTCGGAGAATTCAACATACTTTCCTATTGGTTGGACAACTGAAACTACTTTCCCATTGGTTGTACAATTTAACTCACTTTTCTATTAGTTGGACAATTTAAATTACCCTCCCATTGGTTGGACAATTTAACTTAATTTCCAATTGGTTGGACAATCTAAAATACTTTCCCATTGGTTGGACAATTTAACTTACTTTCCTATTGGCTGGTTCTCGGCACAGATACCGCACCAAGGTGGAGTGGATGGGTGAGATGTTAGCCAGCAAGCAACAGACTGCGAGTGCCAACGAGGGAGGGTCGTGAGACTGCGTTTGGCTGTCGTGGAATGGAGTATTGGGTCCAATGGAAGCACACGGGGAAGGCGTACGACAAATGTCGGAGATGGTGTTGTAAGCAAGCTGACACTCAGGGTCAGGTATGCCCAGGATGAAGTGTCAAGTGCATGTCGCACTGTCGAGCACGATATGTACTGGATCGTGAGATGCTAGCACGCAGACAAACACACGGCAACGGTGCACGAGGGCAGGTAGATATAGAACCACGCGTATTATCAGAAGCGCACATGGGGATGGTATCGGACACGACAGGTCTGGTGTGTCAAGAAGTCCAACACAGTGTCGGATATGCCTAGGACAAATTCCCGAGAGAATGGTACGCTATAACGTAAAGTGTGGCGCGGGAGTAGATGTGAGCACATATGACAACAGCCGGCGAGCGCGAACGAGGGAGGGCTGTGAGATTGGGTTTGATATGTCGTGGAGTTATATATATATATATATATATATATATGATATGATGTCGAGAGAGTGTTCAATTTAGAAGGCTATGTGAGAGTCAGGTTACTGTAGAGCAAGGCGGAGTGGATCAGTGAGATGGTAGCCCACAAACAACAGTCCGCTAGTACAGACCAGGGATGGTCGTATACTTAAGGTGTGGTGCAGTGGAATGTATGAGTCTGGGTTCTGAGAGAACACAAGAGCATCCAAAAAAAATATCAGCAGCCGTGCCGAGAAATCCGATAAAGAGTGTCTGATTGATCTGGGACGCACTATTGGGGAATTTGTACGCTATTGGGGCCCAACTGGGGCGAGCAAGCAGTTGCTGCATAGCTGCCATACCAGTGTGCATGTACCTCTATGACTAACTGACCATACTTGTCAAATGGATCATATGTACAGCTGCAATATCATGGTTCTCTGATACTATGCCGACGTTAAGACAACTACATACTACCCGCGTCCAAAAACATGCACTCACAAGAAGCTGCATTCCACTTTCAGTCCAACCGTGTACACTAGCAAACAGCTAACATAAGTATAAAGGCACAATGTGCGCAAGTGGGCCTAAAACCGGGTTGTGGCCAAATTCTTTCCTAAACTCTGCGCACTCAAGTCTGTACTATACTTTCACCCAGCACTAACATGCCGTTTTCACCAGATTTGACAGTGATG